AACCCTAAACCCTAAACCCTAAACCCTAAACCCTAAACCCTAAACCCTAAACCCTAAACCCTAAACCCTAAACCCTAAACCCTAAACCCTAAACCCTAAACCCTAAACCCTAAACCCTAAACCCTAAACCCTAAACCCTAAACCCTNAAACCCTAAACCCTAAACCCTAAACCCCTAAAACCCCTAAAACCCTAAAACCCTAAAAACCCTAAAAACCCTAAACCCTAAACCCTAAACCCTAAACCCTAAAACCCTAAAACCCTAAACCCCTAAACCCCTAAACCCTAAACGCAGAGCGACTCTCAACAAGGACGTTGAGACTTTGAAAATAGAAATCTGTTGGGCTTAATCCGCACTAAAGATCAAGGAGTACAAGTGTACTCCGGATAATATGGGGAAGGGGTTTTTCTACTCCAAGGTTGACTCTGATTATATCTGACGCGCAAGCGCTAAGTAAGCAATCTACCTTATGTAATGTCAAAAAAAATCGAGGAAAATCACGAACCTCATGTAGAAACGAACAAGGTCTTACAGCACGATCACTATATCTCTTTTCTTTTTTCTTTATCTCTCCTCTATAGAAAGAGGGGAGGGAGCTAATTTTTCAATGAAATTGTAAAGAAATTTCAAATTTGATGAATTTGACACATATATTGTTGAAGAAAGAAATAAGGAAAATAAAAGGAAGGAGAGAGAGGGAAAGAAAGTATATTTATGTTCATTGTTTCCTGCCTCGAAAATAAAAGTTGAGGCAGGCAAGATTTGAGTTGAAGTAGGCGCTTGCAGTGGGGATTGAAGAAAATAAAGGTGATGAAACACAAATTTTAGCGTGGGGAGAAGTCAACTCCATCATCACTCAACTCTTCCTCCTTCAACTCTTCCTCCTTCAACTCTTCCTCCTTCAGCTCTTCAATTTGTTTTACTATCTCATTCAAGTCCGACCTTCTATCCACATCGTCCTCACAGCAACTCAACCCAATCTTCAGCATCTTCAACAGTTCGCCTTTGTTGCTCTCCCTGGCTCTCCCCAGCTCTGCATCGAACACTTGTGCAGTCTTCTTTTCCTTTATCATGTTGTTCACCCAACTGGCCAGGTCTGCTTTGATGTCATGATTTCTGGTGAGGTAGTTCTCTGGGAACCTACCAGTCAACATCTCCAGTATCACAATTCCTAAGCTCCACACGTCGCTCTTCTTGGTTATGCGCCCCAACTGCGCATGCTCCGGTGATTTGTAGGCCATCATCAGTGTTTGGCTGTGCTCAAGGTTGGCTACCGGGATTAATCCGTAATCCGTGAGCAGAGGTTCAAACGACTCGTCTAGCAGCACGTTTGAAGATTTGAGATGGCCATGGGGTGCTGCTATGTTGGGCAGGGAGGTGTAGAGGTAACATAACCCTCTTGCTATCCCTTTGATGATCTTCAACCTTGCGCCCCAATCCAGGCCTGGCTCCTCCAAGTTGTGGTTCCCTGGGTGCATATATGATTAATTAAGATACTAGTACGTACTTGATTAATTAAGATACTACTACAGCTCTGCTTACCGTGCAGATGGCTTGCCAAACTGCCGTTGTCTACAAAGTCGAAAACCAAGAGCTTCTCTTCCTTCCTGTAATAATAGGCAACCAGGGGCAGTAGATTTGGATGCGTCAACCTGCCTAGCCTTCTCATGTACTCATGAAACTCCTCTCTTCCCGCGTTGTTCATGTGCTTGTATCGCTTCACCACCACCGCACCACAGAGAACAGTTGCTTTGTAGGAAGACCCAAATGAGCCACTCCCTAATACTTCGGCGGACGCTCGGAGCAGATCCTGTAAGTCGAACCTCTCCCGGTCATTCCTCACGAACAACAGTTTGCCATTCTCTGCCCCCCTCTTCGGAGCCGGTGCCACCGACGACGACTGCGTGGATCTGTATGCACTCTCCGCTGGCTTGTTCTCCTCTTCAATACTGCCTCCTGCTGGATGCTTCCTTAAAACCAAAATGATGAAAATTGCAGCTGTCACTGCTAATGTTACCCCCAGAACTATCAGTATCACCGCAATTTTCAGCAGCCCTGAGGGTGACAACTGGGATATCTCGCATGCTGGAAGAGGATCTCCACACAAATCACTGTTACCTACAGCCATTCATAATTGATTTTTATTTATTAGTTGTTGTAAGTTACTGACATAAACTTGATCCAGTGTGCAAAGGTGATTATTAAGTTACCTGAAAAACAGGTAGGATCCATATGGCTTAAGCTTCTAGGTATGGGGCCCCTCAACTCATTGTTGGAAACATTAAGTTTCTTCAAAGTATCCATTTCAAGGTGGGGAACTTGGCCTCTGAATTTGTTTCCATCAAGTCTCAACTCCATAAGCGTAGACACGGAAGCGAGAGATAAGGGAATTTGCCCCTTGAATTCATTATTGGTCAAAAACACTTTCTTCAAAAATTTCATACTAGTAAAGGCATCGTCTGGGATTTCTCCAGAAAAATGGTTATAGGAGAGATAAACAGATCGTAGATTGCCTAGTTTGCTTATAACACTAGGCCAAGGCCCAACCAAGGTGTTGTTCATGAAGCTGAGGGTGCGCAAATGAGTCAAAGAAACGAGGGGATTCACATCAACCTCGCCCTTAAGCCCCATATTCTCAAGCCGCAGACCCTTAATATAGCCATTCATACAAAGCACACCCGCCCAGTTAGCCTTGCGGTTGTCGCAAGGAGGAACAGAGGGGTCCCAGCTGCGAAGAGAGGTGGTGGAGGTCAAAGAGCGCTTGAATTGAAGGAGGGTTTCGGCATCGGAAGCCGACAAGACGACCATTATGCATAAGGGGAGGAAGAGGAAAGCGGCGCTGATGGTTGGGGCGGGTGCGCGCATAAGCCCCGCCACGCGCACGCCCGTACGCATTGGCCTTCAAAACTGAACCACCCAACGTGGCTCTGAATTAATAACATACACACTCACCTAGGCATTGGTGGAGAATTCATGGGAAGCTAGATAGAAGAAGGCCCTTCAATGTGGAGTCACATTAATTTGGGGACCATTTTTAATTAATAGAGGTTGCGTGCGGGCGAGGAGGGTATGCAGCAAAAGATTGGCGTTCAAACGAAAGAAGGTTGGAGGGAACTGAAAAGGGTACGCTTAGATTGCAACCCCCCACCGTGTCTTCCATGCCCACCTACGATGGGGAGATATCCAAGGCCAGCCTTTGAATTTTTTAGGATGTACCCAATTTCTGTTGCCTCTCAACTATTTCCTCATCAAAGCTAGAATTGCTATTTTTTCTTAATTATCATCATATTTTAAATTTACCATTAAGTTTTGGTTGGAAAAAAGTTCATTCTTATTGCTCATTATAGCAAATAGAGATTGGGAAAGAAGAAACAAAGCATTTTTACGAGAGGAAGCTAGGGGTTATGGTTTTATTAACATAAGAAATAATATAAATCCTCCTATGTCCCATCTCAACGGAAAGTCCAAATATGAAAAGGGAAAAACAATACACTGCAATATATAAATTATAAAAATATATTTTAAGAAAAAACAATAAAAGATTTACTTTTAAAAGGAATTTAAAATATGGTGTATAAACAAACATGTGATGACCCAATTGTACGAGTCGGTCCAAAAGTAGTTCAAATGGATAACCCAGTGTTAATTCAACAAATAAATGATTCAGATCAAATTTGATTTTAAGTGGAGCTCCTTTTGAGTGAGATTGGGCTTGGGCGAACTTTGGGCCACAGGCCCTTAACGAACGAGGCTGACTGCAGGCTTCTGATCCTCCACAGATCGTCTCGGATCCTACGGAATGCAACTGGTAGCATAATTATTTGATTTACAAAATACCATTGGATGAATTTGGCTAAAATTGTTGTCATAATTACTTGATTTCTGTGAGTTTGGTAATTTTTCAACTTCTTCACCAAGAACAAAGATTAAAAAAAAAAAAGGGGGAATTAACGAACAATTGATCAAATAAATATGCTGAATCGAGACGAAAGAGAGAGAAAGCGAGAGGTGGGATGTGTCCTCCGAGCTGAATAGTTAAACCTGGATCGTTCTTTCCTCTTGCTTCACCTTTATACTCCGTTTGGTAGTTTTTTGCCGGGCCAGACAACCTACATACCTAAAACTCATACTCACGCTCTGTTAAGAGCGAGAGAGAGAGAGAGGGAGAGAGAGAGAGGGAGATCATCCTCTGCTATGGAAATGGGATCTCAGTCTTGCCTTCCCAGCTGAATCACTAGCGCCATTTCTTCCATCGATACCTTTGATTCAGTCACTTGACTTTTCTGTCTCATTCTCCTTCGCTTTACAGGTACTTTCTACTCTTAATCAATCATCCACCCCTTATCCGCATTTCTATTTCTGATCGTCTTTTTAGATCTTTTCCATTTTCCCCGTTTTCGTGCCACTGGGTGATGATTTTATGATCTGGGTTTTCGAATTTGATCCTTTTCAGATGACTTTTGACTGTAGATGGGATTAATCAGAAATGGGTTACTTCTGGATTCTTTGTTTAATTGCCCTCCGCTCTGGAATTGATCACTATCACTCTCCTTTACAGAGGGATACCATGGTTTTACTTTGTTTCTTTGATTTCAACTGTGGACTCCATCAGTATGAAGAATGTGGTCGACCTTTATTTCATTATTTTTTCTGAATTTTTTCTTTGAGCTATGATTCTATCATCTCCTTACACTCCTAGATTTGAAGTCGTTTGAGGGTTGTCATCATGGAGGATGTTCGATAAGGAGAAGATGTAGTCTTAGAAGTCTGCGTTCAGTGTGGATAACCTTGTGACGGATGAAATTCTGCCTATCTCGATCTAGGAGAATGTATTTGAAGCTGAGTTTTCTTTGAGTTTTCTTTGAGTTTTCTTTGAGTTTTCTTTTGTTCTCGGACATGTTCATGTAGTTAAAGCTGCCCGAGGAACTATACTAACCTGGATGCTAGATAGCAGTTAAGCGTCCATTTCGAAGCTCAGTGTATGCTTAAGGTTGCAGAGAAGGAAACTGTATGCTAGAAACGTAAAGCCATGCTTTTTCCATAGGGTGGGTAGCGGGAGAAGCAGTAAGAATTTTATTGACCCCTTGGAGGAGGAGATGAGAATGTTGGTTAAGGAGGAGAATGAGACTGAGCCCTTGGAGGATAATGGGTTCTCACGGCCTTCTTTCAGGACAATTGGGTGGGCATAAAAGAGGACTTATGCGGGTGCTGATGTTCTTTGAATGAGGCATTTTGGATAACTCTCTTAATCAGACTTTTGTTTGCTTTGTTCCTAAAAGAAGTGAGGGCAAACAAGGTTAAGGACTTTAGACCCATCAACTTGGTTGTGAGATTGGCACTTCCCCTTGTCTTATTTAGGTTTCCCCATTGCCCATAAACCGAATTCTATCACTTTTTGGAATCATGTTGTGGAGAAGGTGCGAAAGAGATTTGCTTTCCTCGTTTCTTTTTTTTTTTACAAGAGTGTAGATTTACTTTTATCTATTTAGTTTTTGCCCGTCTACTTCTTTTCCCTTTTTAGAGCCCCCAATTCTGTTTCTAAGTCTTTAGAGAAGCTTACGAGGTATTTACCATCGGAAGGGGTCGATGAGGGTAGGAGTGTGAATTGGGTAGATTGGGACTTAAGTGGGGAAGCCAGAGAATCTTGAGGGACTCAAGTTAGAGAATCTTGAGGCAACTTAGAAAATTTAAGGATCCCAACTTTTAATTGTAACGACCCACTTTCCAAAGTTCAAATCATGGATCATCACATGGACTCAAAAGGTCAAAAGGCGACAATTGTAAAGCAGGAGACCGAAAGGAAATTTGAAATTTAACATGCTTTTATAACTGATGTAAAAATAATTTAAAAGTACGCATCAAAATAGCTCATAAGATAGCAAGTTTTTGAAGAGAATAACATTAAAATAATATTAAAAGTAACATGGATGGAAGAGACTCAATCTATGTCCCCTCTTGCAGTCACACGTCTTCGTATGCTCCCACCATCGACTCCCACCCTCGACTGTGGTTTACGCTCCATCTAAAAATATAGAATAATATGGGATGAGTATAAAATACTCATTAGTCAACCAACCTGTAGGCTCTTGTTGGACTCATTCCTATACATGAAAACTTAGGCTATGTGTTCATAATTGTCCTTAGAGGTATCCAAACTACAACACTGTGTACTAAACCCTCAGCATACCTCCTTTAAGGAGTACCCAACCCCCCCTCGGGGTTCATAACCGGTGGGTTTTTCTCTCTCTTAGCTCTATGTTTAACGTATATCTGGTTCCTTCGTCAATCTTGCACGAATTGCACCTCGAGTCACTATGACTCATGGAAGGGCCCTAGGATAATACTCTTTTAAGTCTAGAGGAGCCCGTTTGTTCTTTCTCCTTTCAAACACGCTTCTGTCGCCGTACAGTGTTGTCGGTGGTGATAGTGTACGGTGGCGGCTGAAAACGTCTTCTCTTTATTTATTTATTTTTAATTTTCTAGCTGTCATCACTTTCCCTCTTCTTTATTTCAAATACACTGATCATCACATTAACGATTCCCGGTTGAGCCTAAAACCCCCTCATTTGTTCGAGTGGGTGCTTGGTGGGGATAAAGGCACTTACAAAAATCCTTGGAAGGCGTCTACTTTGAGCCCCCTTCCTTTTCTCTTCTGGTCTAGTTCTCCATGGAAGAGATATGAACCGTTCCTAATTTGAGGATGGAAATTTGGAGTATTTTCTGCATTGATGGATAAGATTGGCTAATTGGCAAGCTTGGTAGTTCGTTACATCAGCTCCGAAAGAATAAGTTACATTGGAATTCAGAAAATTCTATGAGTTCTTAGTTGCATTAAAGAAGAAGATATAGAGGTTGTGGCCACTAGCAAGGCATTTCTACACCCGCCCTTATCTGCCAGAAAAATTGATGAACCGGCAAGGCTTCAACATAAGGGAGCAGGAATTACTAACTAAGAGCAACCTTTGTGCTTAGGAAGCTATACCTATTTCTCACGGGTAGGTTAGGTGCCAGGACCTTGCTTCTATCCCTAACCAATTACAATAAATAGTTGTGGTTGTGGCACCCTAAGTAACCTCAACCTCAAGCACTAGTATAATGAAGTAATAACATTACACTACGGGTTTTGCAGTGATAACTTTTATCCGAGGCCAAGTACATTCCTTATTACTAAAATAAAGAATTAAGGTTACATATAAGGTAACCTCCACCTAGATTTGGTATATAAAGAAATTGTCATTGCCAGTTACGAAAGACAACGATATTATCCCATGGTTAACTGTATATATTTGATCTTCTATGTGTATAATTTCGTGCAAACTTGATTACTCTGATTTCCACAATTATGCAGGTTCGTTAATTTTCATGTAAATGATCAATCTGAGTAGTAGCTCAAGCGATGACTTTACAAGTCTGATTCAAGAGGTAGGCTCCACACAATGCAACTGGCACCAAATAATGATGAAAATGCACCCATTTTAAGTCAATTGGATTTTCAGCCACAATCTGTGGAATCGTCATCCCCGGCTGAGATTATTGTCATAGGGAGAGAGAGCTCCGTTACGGATGATGATTTACACAATCTTAACGTTGATGAAACTTGTCACCTGGTGAACGCAGACCTACCGCAATGTCGGATATGCCTTGACACCGGAGGTTTTTAACATTCTTTTTTTGTTCAATATGCAATGCAATTTCATCAACATCAGTTAAGGACAGTGTTTGTCACATTTTTTTTTAACAAATAAAAATATTGTCTTCAATGAGTTAAGATTGTCACTACATATTTTGTTTTTCTTTTCTTCTGAAGCTTCCATCTCCTGAATTTTCTTTCAGGAGAAGATTTAATCGCTCCATGCCACTGCAAAGGCACTCAGAAGTATGTCCATAGATTATGTCTTGATAATTGGAGGTCCACAAAGGTCAGTTTTCCTGAATTTCATATTGCCTCTCTATTGTCATTCCTATTGTCATTCCCTTCACCGCTAGCAGATATTGTCGATTATGCTTCGTGATATATCATCGTCAGTCTCACGATTTTTAAATGCGCCTACTAGGGAGTTCTACTCTCTTATTAGGAATACTTCGTTTCCCTTTTCAACCAACGTAGGATCTCACGATCCACCACCCCCTTGGGAACCCAGCGTCTTTATGGCACCCTGCCTGGTAACTGACCCTAATACCATTTGTAACAACTCAAGCTCACTGCTATCAAATATTGTCTGTTTTGGCCCATTATGTATCGTCGTCAACCTCACAGTTTTAAAATGCGCCTACTAAGGAGAGGTTTCCACATCCTTATAAGAAATGCTTCGTTTCCCTCTTCAACCAATGTGAGATCTCATAGTTGGTTAGAACCCGCATGGTTGAAGAGAGAAACAAAACATTTCTTATAAGGATGTGAAACATCTCCGTTTTAAAATCGTGAGGCTGACGGCGATACATAACCGGCCAAAGCAAACAATATCTACTAATAGTGGGCTTGGGCGGTTACAAATAGTATTGGAATGGCTCAAAAGATGTGCCAACAAAGACGTTGGACCTCCAAGAAGAGTGGATTGTGAGATTTAACATTGGTTGAAAAGGAGAACGAGTCAGTGAAAACCTCCTCTAATAGGAGTGTTTTTAAAACTGTGAGACTGATAGCAATACATAACATGTCAAAACAGACAATATCTACGTATATCGTAAAAAATTTTAACTAACTTTCCGATTACCAATCTAATACATCTGCTTTCATAGACGTTCCAAACAAGTGGGTGTTCGATAATGAAGTTTCCAAAGTTTTTGGCTTCTAATCCATGTCAGTAATTCTGTCAGGAGGGCTTTGCTTTTGCTCATTGTACAGAGTGCAGAGCTATGTTCATGATACGTGCAAATGTCCCTACTGATCGCTGGTGGTTAAGACTGAAGTTTCAGTTTCTCGTTGCTAGAGACCATGCGTTCATTTTCATCATTGTTCAGCTGGTAGATTCTTGTAATTATATTTTCAACTACTCTGGGTTCATTCACTTTTTAAGTCAAGGAGTTTGATTCGAGTTTGGCTAAATTTTCTTCCTTATTATTATCATATAAACCCATTTCATTGTTATGATTGATTTTTCTAGAGAGATCTTCACCTTGTGCTTTAAACAGATCGTGGCATTCTTGGGTGTGTTGGTGTACAAATTCTACGGGGAGGAACTAAGGGAAATGTTTGGTTACGAAGAACACCCATATGGGTTCTACGCCATGGCTGGTATACTGAGGCTGCCGATTAACTCCTTACTTTTTAGTCTTTCTTATATATGTATTGTATTTATTAAAGTGAATATTCTCCCACAGTTTTTTGGTTTCTTTTGATAAGAAGAACCTAGAACTTGCTGTTGGATGAATCCTTGAATGAAATCAAGCACACCGGCTTAAGAAAATGTAGTTGCTATACTACCCGACTTTTAAATGCTTCGTTCTATAATTTCCTTCTGCAGTCTTGGCTATCATCTTGGTTGGATTACTCTACGGATTCTTCATAGCGATTATATGCGGGCAGAGGATAAATGAACGCCACTACCATGTCCTTGCTAAGCAAGAACTGACAAAGGTTCAGTAACGATTTAAGATCAGAATATTGTAAAATTGTCCTCCCCCCGTTAAGAGTTTTATGTCAAAGTTGAGCTTACAGCGGTTAGCATGTATTCCACCTGAGATTGATGGTTCAAATGTCCCATCTCCTATTCTTTGTACTAAAAGAAAAACTTTATACATTTCAGGAGTATATAGTCGAAGATCGAGAACATAACAAAAGTGTTCCTGAACTAGACCCCAGACATGTTATGGAGCTAAGGATGTTAGGCCTGTATTAATGTGGAACTTCGTGAACTCTACTCGATGTAAGGAACTCTGTAGTGTATAAATTCCTCATCTTTTTATATATCACTGGAGAATTAGCATTTGGGTAATGTTGTCTGGCCATAATATTTGTTTTGTAACTTCAAAATTGAATTTACAATTATACTGCAAGAATCCTGGAGTTTTTACATTTTTTTGACCCCGTAATCTTCACAGGTTTTGATTGATCTGGCGGGTATACCTTTGAGTTGATCAAACAAAGCAAATTGTTTATAAAATTTCGCGAGATACCTAGCAAGAAGAGTCTGTTCCTTCCTCGTTTACTATAGCGGTCTGTTTGAACAAATAAGGAGTCGCTTCTTGGTTGGGCACACAGATTTCCTGGTGTAAATGGGCATTCTTCGTGATGACGAGGAAATTGCTTCCCGTGCCGCCAGGCTACCACTTACCCCTGAAGGCCATTTCACATATCCTTTTGGATTTGTATTTCTTTGTGAACGATTCAAATTAGTAAATTAAACTGTAATTTATCTGTTAGCTATAGAGTTATCCAAGATGCTTCAAGGTTAAGACAGCTATGCGTCCATACTCCTATTAATGTGTGTGATCCTTACCTCTTGGGTTCTTTTAGGCAGTCTAGATATTACTTGGTTCTAGTCTTTCAGCATTCGTATATGAAGATGTTTCACAAGGAAGGAAAGATGCGGTTTGGCTTTTGCGGAGAAAGAGGGAGAGAATTGGAGATTAGAAGCTAATCCTTCAATTTCATAGAAGAAGAAACAAACAACGTATCATAATATATGTATAACGAAGTATATGAATGAATCCTTAAGTTGGGAGTAAAAGGAAAGAAAGTAATTTGAGCACAAAAAAGGAAGAAAAAAAAGAGAAGAAATTACCGAGATTCTAGAGTTCCGAATCTGGTTGTGGTCGGAGCGTTTGAGCGGCAGCCTTGGCAGAATCCTCCACCATTTGTTTGGTTGTGTGGAAGCTCTTGGTAATGGATTCCTTCATATTCTCATTCCCGTTCACTTGTCCATCTTCCACCGGTTTTCCTGGTCGGAAGCTGAGACCCAACCATGCCGCGTTATATGTGTAAGAAACAAGCAGGTAAAGCAAAGGAAACCAAACATGCATATGAATATACTGACTCTATTTTTGGTGGGAAGAGGCAGGTGACGGCTCTATTGACCACTTTTCGAACCTCCTCCCAATAGGAGTTGGGAGGCGGAGAGGATGCTGCCGATGCCGATATTACTCTACCTACTGTTTCTTCGATATTATTTGGTGCTTCCTCGTCGGCCTTGCCAACGCCAACCACGATTACCATCCATAACACTAACACCAAAACAAAATCACCCTTCTTCATCATCTTCAATAGTCCCTCTACGAACTGCTAATTTAGTTGATATACCAAACCCCTTGCGTCTTGGGACTTACCACTACACTAATATATATACACATTATATTATATATTATATGTTGCAAGTTCCCGAAGGACTTCCAGGTGGACAGTGCATCTTCCATTTTCCATACACGTGTCCATGCTTTGGCCTTTGGAGCCAACCCAACTCTCCTTCTTTTTCATCTCATTCTCCATCAGCTATTTGAACCTTCCACCTGTCCGGAGGTAAACATATTTCTTATACTAATAATAGTTTATCAAAGCCAACTTCATTTGAAGAAGGTGAAGAGTAAAATGATAAATATTCATACCATATATACTTTCTTCGCATTGATAAACTCATCTCAATGGTTCTCCATGCCAGACTATGTATGGATACACCCAGAATCCACCTGTACACAATAATCAAATGCCAGATGCGTTGAAAGGTGGAGGACTTGTTCTGGCATCCCAACAATCAACACTTCTGTATTAAATTAACCAAATTACGGTATTACAGTATAAAGTACCAAAAACCTAAACTCAAATCCAAGTTTCTATTAAATGAATTATTATAGCATACTCGTCCTAAATTCCGCCACTAACCAACCAACCAAACAAAACCACTTGTTGTTAGTCTCCTTCAATACATGCCGCCCCTGCCATTGTTCAGAATTGACCCTGGGTGCCCAGAACCGCAAAAGCCAAAAGCGGGGTAACATCCAGGGTATCGAATATTGGAGGAATTATATTCCGGAACAGGTTCAAGTATGGATCGCAGAGATCACGAATTGCAGAGAGTGGGTGCCTGGGGAACCAACTAAGCAAAACCCTAACCATCAAAACCCCACTTGGCCATCCCTGCAGCCACCACCGTCAAAGGCGTGTGGAGATATCTGCTGGGGCGGTCCCAGAACAGGGAGCCGGCCGCCTGGAACGGACCGAGCCCAGGACAAGGAGGCCATTGTTCTTATTTTTGTTTCTTTTAGAGAGAAATGTGGGATCTGGTTTAGGATGAGTGGGTTGGAAGATTGAGAAATAATATCCAAAGTGAGAGTGAAGACTGAAGAGGAAGCAAGCATAGACGGTGAAGCCTTTGGGTTTCATATTAGAAAATGATAAATTTAAGTTTTATTCTTACCTGGGTGTTACATATATTATACACATCCGTTCCTTACAGCTATGTAGATACCGTGTAAAGGTCATTACTGTCTGTCTACATGTGATGACGTACACTCCTTGCCCCTCCATTCTCCTTCTTCCTCTCTTTAATTTAGAATCAAGATCCAATTTCATTTATGTCATTCTACTTTCTTATATGTACAAAATACCATTTGATGAATTTGGTTAAAATTGTTGGCATAATTATTCGATTTGTGTGAGTTTGGTAAATTTTCAACTTCTTCACCAAGAAAAAAAGATTTTTTTTTCTTTAAAAAAAAAAAAGGATAATGAAAGATTACACCAGTGCCAAACCAACAAAATCAAATAAAATATGCTGAATCGAGAAGAAAGAGAGAGAAAGTGAGAGGTGGGATGTGTCCTCCGAGCTGAATAGTTAAACCAGGATTGTTGTTTTGCTTCACCTTTATACTCCGTTTGGTGGTTTTTGCCGGGCCAGACAACCTACCAGTTGTTGCGGCTCTTTGAAGAGAGAGAAATTCTTTTTATACATACTCACAACTCAAACTCACGCTCAGAGAGAGAGAGAGAGAGGGAGAGGGAGAGGGAGAGGGAGAGAGAGATCATCCTCTGCTATGGAAATGGGATCTCAGTCGTCTTGCCTTCCCAGCTGAATTACCAGCGCCATTACTTCCATCGATACCTTTGATTCACTCACTGACTTTTCTGTCTCGTTCTCCTTCGCCTTACAGGTACTTTCTACTCTTAATCAATCATCCACCCCTTATCCGCCTTTCTATTTCTGCTTCTCTTTTTAGATCTTTCCCATTTTCCCCGCTTTCCTGCCACTGCTTGATGATTCTGTAATCTGAGATTTCGAATTTCATCATTTTCAGTTGAGTTTTGACTGTAGATGGGATTAATCAGAAATGGGTTACTTTTGGATTCTTTCTTTAATTGCCCTCCGCTCTGGAATCCACCATTTTTCACGTTCCTGCACACAGGGATACCATGGTTTTACTTTGTTTCTTTGATTTCAACTCTGGACTTCATCAATTTGAAGAATGTGGTCGGTCCACCTTTATTTCATTATTTTTTCTGAATTTTCTCTTTGACCTATGGATCTATCATCTCCTTACACTCCTAGATTTGAAGTCGTTTGAGGGTTGTCATCATGGAAGATGTTTGATAAGGAAAAGATGTAGTCTTACAAGTCTGCGTTCAGTGTGGATAACCTTGTGGCGGATTAAATTTTGCCTATCTCGATCTAGGACAATGTATTTGAAGCTGAGTTTTCTTTTGTTCTCCGACATTTCAAATACGTAAATTCTCTGTCCAAACAAAGTTGAAACTGGATCTCCTACCAATTCACTCTTTTCTATTGCTTTTTTTAGTCACCAACTGTCTAGTCTTGTTTTAAGCATTTCTTTTATCTTGTTTCTCCAATTCTTGATGGACAAATATATTCTGGTAAGGTTTCATTTTTTCTTAGTGAAATGAAGATTGAATACACTTTCTACCTATAAATACTGGAATTCCATCTGCTTACTGCATTTCTGGCCCTGTGATTGGGTTTTAGTAAATTGAAATTGTTCTCCTGCCCCTCTCTCTCTTTCTTATGCTATTGTTTTATTCTTGTAGGACACCGGGACTTCTATTTGGCCTTCTAATAGTTGCCTTCTTAGCTTGCTTTGGTCCACTTGAGATTCTTTGAACTGATTTGATGGGTTCCAGATTCCCATCTCATCAACTTAGCAATGGCCTCTTCGTCTCGGGGAGGCCAGAGCAGCACAAAGAAAAGGCTCCAACAATGAGTTCAGTGGCAATGCCCTACACTGGTGGCGATATTAAGAAGTCGGGAGAACTGGGAAAGATGTTTGATATTCCTATGGAGGGCTCTAAATCTAGGAAGTCTGGGCCCCTCAATGTTGCTCCTACAAGGACTGGTTCCTTTGGAGGTGCTGGGACTCATTCAGGACCCATTATGCCAAATGCAGCCCCCCGGGCGGGTTATACCACCTCTGGTCCTATTTCTTCTGGCATGATGACTAGCTCAACCTCATTCAAGAAGTCTACTTCTGGGCCACTAAACAAACATGGAGAGCCTGTAAAGAAAGTATCTGGCCCTCAATCTGGTGGAGTGACACGCCAAAATTCTGGACCTATTCCTCCAGTTCTTCCTGCTACTGGACTCATCACATCTGGCCCCATTTCTTCTGGTCCGTTAAACTCATCTGGGGCACCTAAAAAAACGTCTGGTCCTTTGGAATCAATGAATTCGATGAAAATAAATGGTCCTTCGATAGCACAAAATCCGGCTGTGACTACCCTTAGCCCAGATGATGAATATTCTTTTGGAAAGAGCTTCCCAAAATTAATACTCTGGTCTGTGATTCTCATATTTGTGATGGGGCTCATTGCTGGTAGTTTTATTCTTGCTGCAGTCCACAATCCTGTTCTTCTCATTGTTATAATTCTACTCTTTGGAGTAGTTGCTGCAATATTTACCTGGAACACCTGTTTCGGAAAGAGAGCTCTTATTGGTTTCATTTCTCAGTATCCTGATGCTGAACTCCGAACCGCAAAAAATGGGCAATATGTCAAAGTTTCTGGGGTATGTTGCCTAACAAACTACTCTTTGATTGTGGTGAAAATACCTAACTACCACTCTTGATGGTGTTGGATATTTTATAAGATATTGAATGAAATGAAATGCACATAACCATTTGTCTGGCTTTTGATTCATTTAACTATCAATAAATATGGTTTTAGTGAACTATAGAGTAGGCGTACTTCCTGTTGAAATGTGAATTTTGGGCAACAATCTACTATAAATACTACCCAAACTCCCAAATTTAATCATTTTTTGTTTTATTTTTATGATATTTTGTTGTACTTTGTAAAAGGGAATATATTATTGATGTCACAATACTCCTCAAACTCTGCAGGTTGTTACATGTGGCAATGTGCCACTTGAGTCATCCTTCCGTAAGGTTCCTAGATGTGTCTATACATCTACAAGTCTATATGAGTATCGAGGGTGGGGTTCAAAACCAGCAAATCCTGGACATCGCCGATTCACATGGGGACTGAGATCATCGGAGGTAATGTATCCATGAGGTGATGGAATACAATTGGTTGTTGACTTTTCTCTCTTCATTCCCAGATTTCTTAAAATTGAAGTCAATTGTTGCCATTAAGTAAAAAACTACAAGAACTCTTTCCCCTTTCCTGTTAATAAGCATCCAATTTTGATTAAGAAAAATAGAAGTACAGCAGATATAACGAGCATGTTTTGGGCGAGGAGTCGTGTTTGGAGGTTTTGAGCAAGGAGCTTCATAAAATTTCCCGGAAGTATGGCAATAGCTAGTTAAGGAATTCCCACCATGATTGAATCTTGATTTGCCGGAGACGGCAGTGCTCACTTGCATATGAGGACATATTCATACACATTTATTGAACATTACTGTAAGAAACATATTTTTCTGTACGTTTCAGATTTGAGAGGATATTTGAAAGGTATTCAGGTTTCCTCTGTCTGTTCTCTCATCTTCATGCCATCTCTAAAAGCAAGAAATTACTAATTTTAGAAGTGCTTTGATATTGTATGAATGATAATACCCTAATTTTGTAAGTCTGTTCTATAATTGAAATTCAATATCTATATTGATAAATTAATTTTGTGCTCATGTTTTTCTTTTATAGAGACATGTGGTAGACTTTTACATCTCTGATTTCCAGTCGGGATTGAGAGCGTTGGTTAAGACGGGATATGGTTCTAGGGTGACCCCATATGTTGACGACTCTTTTGTTGTTGACGTTAATCCATCAAACAAAGACTTATCTCCGGAGTTTGTCCGATGGCTGGGAAGGAGGAATCTTTCAAGTGATGATCGCGTAATGCGATTAAAAGAAGGGTAAGCAACTTTTGTTCTCTTACAATTCAGAGAAGAATTCAGTTCCAGTTTGATGGTTGGAAGTAGTATTGTTAAATGTGAAATGATATAAAATGTAGGTACATAAAGGAGGGTAGCACTGTTAGTGTGATGGGAGTGGTTCAGAGAAATGAGAATGTGCTTATGATCGTCCCCCCGCCAGAACCATTGACCACTGGATGCCAGTGGAGCAAATTAATATTTCCAGCTAGCCTTGATGGTATCGGCCTCAGATGCGAGGACTCATCAAAAATTGATGTGATTCCTGTGTAGTTAGTTATATGTGCATAAGAAAGTTGTTGAGGTATTGCGGTTATTATAACGATATTTTGATGATCAGGGTGCATCCACTGAACAACCAAAGAAGACTTCACTTCTCTTCTTGGCTTGATGTATAGTTTGTATTCATATTCCTTCTTTTATGTTTCTAGAGCTTGAAATTACATTGTTGGGTTTAATTTGTTATGAAGAAAAAAAACTTTAAATCTTGGGCTGGCTGGTAGTAGCAAGTATTATATGAAGAAGAAATGCAAGTATTTTTGGTGTCAGATATAACATGGCTTCTCCCTTCTATTTTGCAACTTGTGGTTGGCATTTGCATTATAGTGTTTTCCAAGTTAGAAAGTGTTAGTCTAGAAGCAGGATAGGTGGAAGGGTGTTGCTGAATCAACTGTGCAGCAGTAAAAGGCAAAGCGATGTACAGGACATATCGAAGTATTTGCATCGGCACCATCGGCACCATCACACGTAGTTGTTCATACTGAATTAAAAGAAATATGAGTTAATTTTATGTAAGATCTTCGGGAGTTCATAGAATGAAGAAGGAAAAAGGAAAAGAGGATGGGAATGTTGAAAGAGAAGAAAAATGGTTGTAAAGGAACTGATATAATGTCTTCTGATATAATTCTAACCTGGAGAACGGAAACTAAAGGAGCTTAAAAAAAGGAGGTAGGAATAAGTTGCAAAAGCTGAGATGAAATGAAACAATGCCAAATATGGGAAAGTTGGGGAACCAATGATATTTGTACATGAAATTCCCAATTGTCCTTAATTATAAATACCAAAATATAATTACTTTATCTCGTCGGATTTTAGAGACACTGAATACCGATGGTTTTCAGTAGTTAGAGAATCAAAAAAAAAAATTCTTTTTTCTTTTTTCTTTTTGACAAAACCCAGAGGGAGAGGGAGAGGGAGAGGGAGAGCGACGGAAGTCAGATAGCGAGCGAGCGAGAGAGGGAAGGGAACCTTCTTTGGGATTGAGACTGAGATTTGGATTTGGATTGGTTTTGGAAGTTTCTATTTTCGGCACATTATGTCTCCTAATCCATCTGCTATTACACCTGCTGTCACTGCTTTTCCTACTGGTAAGTGCTCAAAATGGCGTTTTCCCCCCTCTCCTATCTTCATTCTCCCCTTTTCACTTCATTTCTTCTCTACTACTTAACTTTCTAATTCCTCCTCGCTCCTAGATCTTCTCCATTTCGCTGATGTTTCTTTGAATGGGGACGTGGGTGTGTATTCCTTGGCTGTTCTTATGCTTTTCTGCTTAGCTGGTGGGAGTTTTTTTCTTTTTTTTTTTAAAACATCAATTGTTCAATTGATTATAATCTTCAAGCTTCTAAGTCTGAATCTTTTAAATGTCTTAGTAGTCTTACAGATCCTAGCGCCGTCTTCAATTTCAGTACGCAATCATGAGACATTTAATCTGTTATTTCCCCATAACCCTTTAACTTCATAATTTCGGTTATTTTCTTCTGGTGTTTTTCCTCCCTTTGTATAAAGGGTAAAACTCAAGTATTTAGTTTTTACGGTGAAGCTATTCTATTGAGGAGACATTCATGTAATCAACTGTTGTTCCTAGGATTTCTTTTCATTTCTGCCCGTTTCACATCGTCTAGTTTCCTGCACATCACCCAACTCCTCAACTCCAAACATTTTTTCATCATCACTTCTGCCTATCAGCTTGACTCGGGGTTGCTGTCTTTGTTGAATAAAGTCTGGAATTCCAGTTCTTTTAATGATTTAATGATTGTATTAGAAGCTAATTATCTGCTTGTTGATACTATACCAACAAAGTTTCTATGAAGTTGGTTATGTGTGGATACTATGTGTGTGTTTTTTACCCCTTTCCCATCGCTTCTTTTTGTACCTTGTCATTCATTATTATTCACTTTTCTAGATGTATTCATTATTATTCACTTTTCTAGATGTACTTCAGCGTGGATATTTTCCAGCAATTTAATCATTTCTTTAACACGGTGTTCAACTCCCTTTTCATATCTTAATTAATTTGTGTTGCTGTTTCCCCGAGTTTACTGGCAGTCATAGTTGTTTCTTTCTCATATGGCAATCACCTGCTGATCCTGCCCTGCATATCTCCACTTATCAGAGAAAAATGTGTGTTTAAATTTAGTTTAATGTTAAATATGGTGAATTATTATGCAGCTAGACCTCTTTTGCTCTCCTAATCATCTATTTATTTAGGGCCAATCAATTCTAATTCTGATCCAATTTAATAATGCAGTCCTATGCCTAGCCATGTTTTTTGCTCTCATATTCACGATGAACTTATCTCTGGCTCTGGCTCTTATCCAGCTTTTGAGACTTCTTTGTTTGCATTACCTGGCACATGTTTCTGTGTCTGGCTCATGTTTAATGTTTTGATTAAAATTGATTGAAAGTTTGGTCTTCAGGAGAGACTTGAGTATTACATCGGCTGCTGATATTTCCGTTGTGTTAATTCCTGTGGACTATTTTGAAGAGGCAAGATGAGTTCTAGAATACCATCTCATCAGCTTAGCAATGGCCTCTACGTATCAGGGAGGCCTGAGCAGCCTAAGGAGAAACCTCCAATTATGAGCTCTGTGGCCATGCCCTATACTGGTGGAGATATTAAGAAATCAGGAGAGCTAGGGAAAATGTTTGATATTCCTGTGGATGGCTCCAAGTCCAAGAAGTCAGGACCTATAACTGGTGGCAACTTGAGGTCTGGATCTTTCGGAGGTGTTGCATCTCATTCTGGACCTATCATGCCTAATGCTACAGCTCGCACCATGTACACCACTTCAGGTTCTTTATCTTCTCAAGGCATTTCTGGTTCAGCTTCACTAAAGAAATCAAATTCTGGACCTCTGAGCAAGCATGGGGAACCTGTAAAGAAGTTGTCTGGTCCACAGTCTTGTGGAGTGACACCTACTGGTCGTCAAAACTCTGGGCCTCTTCCTCCTGTACTACCTGCAACGGGCCTTATCACATCAGGACCCATTTCTTCTGGCCCTCTAAATTCGTCTGGAGCTCCACGGAAGGTTTCTGGTCCCTTAGAATCAGTAGGATCCTTGAAATTACAGGGTTCTGCAGCTCACAGTCATGCTGTGACTACTCTTACTTATGATGATGATTATTCATTTGCAAAGAACTTCCCAAAAATAGTATTATGGTCATTAATTCTTCTATTTGTGATGGGCTTTATTGCCGGGGGCTTTATTCTTGGAGCTGTCCATAATGCGATCCTCCTCATTGTGGTTGTGGTTCTTTTTGGTGCTGTTTGTACACTTTTCATTTGGAATACTTACTGGGGAAGAAGAGCGCACATGGGTTTCATTTCTCGCTATCCAGATTCCGAACTTAGAACTGCAAAGAATGGACAATTTGTGAAGGTCTCTGGGGTAAGTATGTTTCTTGATATTAGTAAAACGTACTAAGCCAAAGGATGTAGATAGAATTGATGAGATCAAGAAGCTAATAGTTTTTTTCCTTAGCCTGGTCTTTGTTATAATTAAGTTTCATTTCAATTGTCTGTTTTGTCCATTTGAAATCCTCAGTTACCCCCGTGTTTGGCTTTCTTCTCTTAGGATTCTATTGATTGTGTCGACTGTGTATTTCTGCACCTCATAGTCGGTTGCATGTTTTAATCAGCAAATGTTATAATTTTGGCAACCCAGATTTTCTAGTTATATTTGATAATCCAAGGGAATTACTAAATAGAAGTGTTTGAGCATAGTTAGTATGTGTTGGATATTGTCTCTAAGAGATGGTTAGAGAGGCATTACATTAGAGAGAACTGATAAATGTTCGTCTCCCCATTTGGATTCATACACAAAGTTTATCATTAAAGATACTATTTATTTTTCATCACATGACTACATGTGTGGGGAAACAACTTACTGGACTTGGTCTAGTTAATTATTTTAAAAGTTCACTTACAGATACTTTGATTTTTCTTTCAAAAAGAAAATTTCTGTTAGCCGTGTGCATTAGGAAGGGAGATTTTTGGCTGTTATCATCTTCTGATGGTTCTGATGCATTCAATGGTTAGTGATATCTTATCTACGCCCATTGTCTAATATACTGGAGGCTGATTACATCTCGATGCCCATTGACTATTTTATTGTAAGAAATGAAATGTTGCAATTTCTCAAATGGAAAAAAAAAAAAAAAAACTCTTTCTTCATCTTGTTATCATTATATCGCTTTATTTCTAGATTGTAATTTGCATTGGTCCTGTTTTAAAGGTGGTTACCTGCGGTAACATGCCTCTTGAGTCGTCCTTCCAAAAAGTTCCTAGATGTGTTTATACATCAACAAGTTTATACGAGTATCGTGCGTGGAGCTCCAAAGCTGCCAATCCTACACATCGCCGTTTTACTTGGGGGCTCAGATCACTAGAAGTGAGTGACTGAAGACTCAATTTATGGTTATAGTTGATTAATCCTTGAAGTAAATTTACTGTCTGCTACTCTCTCTTTGTTTTGGTTTTTGGTTTCTGTTTTGTGTGTCGTGGGGGGTTGAGAATCATGGCATATTATGGTTCATTTGATCATTACAAACTTATGAGTATTGAACTCCTTTTCCATTAAAAGCTATGATTCACAAATTCAGTTGGAGCTTACATAGTGATTAATGAATCAATATCATAAATACAAGATACGGACCAAATTTTTTATTCTTGAAGGTTGAAGTGGTCTGTAAATATCTTCAGCTATTTTGTCGCTTGATTTGAATGTTCAATTTTGTTATTGAGGCCACTTATAGCTGAACCTTTTGGTGTTATTCACAGAGACATGTGGTTGACTTCTACATCTCTGATTTTCAATCTGGATTAAGAGCATTGGTTAAGACTGGTTATGGCGCGCGAGTGACTCCTTATGTTGACGATCCAATTGTTATTGATGTTAATCCAGTAAACGAAGAATTGTCACCAGATTTCATTAGGTGGTTAGGAGAACGAAGTCTTTCAAGTGATGGTCGAGTAATGCGTTTAAGAGAAGGGTAACCAACATAGTGAACTTATGAGCGCTTTTGAATTAGCACATTGCACCATCCATCTAAGAACAGATATGTGGCAGGTCTTACTGTTTTATTATATGTGCAGGCATATCAAGGAAGGAAGCACTGTTAGTGTAATGGGAATTGTTCAGAGAAATGAAAATGTGCTGATGATTGTCCCTCCGCCCGATCCAATTGCAAGTGGGTGTGAATGGAGCAAGTGTATTTTTCCAGCTAGTATTGAAGGTATTGTTTTGCAATGTGAAGACATGTCGAAGAACGATGTGATACCTGTTTAGCATCTCGAACACGAACTCGTTTGACTTGAAGGAATCATCTTTCCTCATTTAATATTTGCTTTGTTGATGTTGATGTTGTTGGTAGGTAGGTAGGTTAGGATTGATGATAAATTGACAGAGATTCCGACGGTTTAAGATGGATGTATGGGGTGGTGGTGGTGTTTTTAGTTTTGGTGTATAGTTTTCGAGAGTTTCTTTTCCATGTTTTTGGTGTAGGGAAAGGGCATGAGAAAGCTTCTTGGAATAGGGAATGGGCTTGGTGCTTTGTGTATTTAAGAAGATTGACATCTTACTTTTAAATAGAATGAAAGTGTTACGTGTTTATCGTTGATCGTTGAATGTCTTCCTCAGCTGATATCATGAAACCTCACCTTAGTATTCACTTTTGAAATGACGAGAGCATAATTGAAATTCATTTGAAAGCTTAAGGGCGCAATAGAAAATCGTCACTTGCATCTATGTTTGCCTACATTTTTTTTAGAATCTCACTTTGGCTGAGAAGGAGAACAAAATACCATTTTCCTGTTTTTGTCTTCAAGGAAAAGTCTAAAAAGGATAGTATGCTTAGTTCATTACAATTTTATAACTCGACCAAAACAAAATAAGATTAAACCCAAAATGGGGTGTGAAAGGTCCTTTGGTACCATGCCCAAAACAAAAGAAATGGAAGGATATTTTGCCTCTTTGGTGGGTGGAAAGCTTGTTCACTGCGGCTTCTACTCGGTGGGAGTAAAAACATTGTCACAAATATTTATAAATAGGAAAAAAACGGAGGGACATAAATGTTAGATAATTTCTGAAAATGATCTATAAGAGATCCATTAAGCAATTGCAGTGTAAATGTGATTACAGACGAGACGGAGGGCGGGGCTTCCCCATACACAGACAAATCCTCCGGTTCACAGATCTTGAAATCGGCTTTCACTGCCCTCTGCACAATTGGGGTTCGATCGCATGAGAGATGGCGAGGCCGTCATCGAAGCACGTATCAGTGAAGTTGGTGCTAATATGCTTGGGGCTTCTTGGATTTGCTCTCATGGCCGACTTTATGTGGGCTTCCTCTTCGCGCTTTTCCTATTCATTATCTATCGCATCCAATTGGGCTCCTCCTTACCATTCCGATAGCAGCATAACGATGCCCAGAAAGCCAGATCATGGAAATCTCAACAAGGTCAGCTTCACTCTTGTCCATTGATTTGTGCAATTTACTTAACGTTCAAAGGTTTTGGATATTGATTTGTGCATAACTTTTTTTTTTTTTTTTTTTTTTTTTTTTTTTTTTTTTTTTTTTTTTTTTTTTTTTTTTTTTT